CGGAAGCCAAGATGCTCGTCTCATCACTACTGCAGAGGCCAGGGATCTGGCTGCAGTATCTGCGGAATCTAACACAGCCTATAGAGCTGTTCTAGATATTAATGCTCCTTCCTGTAAACTAACCTTGAATTGATCCCTTTTGTTATCTGGAAGTGATTAAATAAAATTTGCAGTTGATTGAAGGTGTGGCGTGTATATTTTGCTAGTAATGCTGCGTAATTGGTTATGTAGAGCTGGATGCTTGCCAGTGAGTATGCCTTTCTGTCCATCGTGTCCAGTTTCTTCCAGTCCTTGTCGTAGGGGACAGTTCAGGTAGCCTGTTGTTTGCCTCTTTGGTTAACTGTGTCCACCACTAATGAATTCAGAGATGGGTGGGAGAAGAGAAATTCTGCTCCTTTTGGGGCGACATAGTATTTTCGATCTGACCTCTTGCAGGTCAGTGGTATTGGGGCCGGCATTTTCCAGATGTTCTTGGCCAGGTCCATGAGAGCCTCATTCATTGGGAGCGCTAGTTTCATGTGTGGAGATGTGTGTTCTAAATGGTACCCATGGATCACAGTAAGGCCAGTTTGCTGGGATAGGAGGTGGAAGCCATTGCTGTGAGTGCCGGTGCTGATAGGGCTTGGGTGAGGAGTACCACTGTATGTGTTAGTGTGTGGGGTCCCATCGGTGCCAAAAAGCGGTGAGCCCAGTACCGATGTGACGAGGAGATCCCCAGAAGTAATGAATTGCAGCACTGGCGTTTGCTTTTTATGTTTTGTTGGCACCCCGTGCCGATCGCGCTGCCTCGGTGTTCCTTGCTGCTTCTACGAGTGGCTTTGTTGGTGCTGATGGCGCTTTAGCGCTCACTGCTCTTCGTTCTCAGCGTGGCTTTGTTGTTGCTGAATGCCCCGCTGTGGTGTCTGTTACCGCTTCCCAGCGTGGTTTTATCTTTGCCGTGGCCAGTGCTGACGGCTTTGTGCTCAGAGGGTTTGCATTTCGCCTCCTTCTGTGCCTTGTTGTGGTGCGAGCTTTTAGATTGGGGTCATGGCCCTTTTCAGTGCCAGCCCCATTAGCATACTGCTGCTCTGACCCCTTTATTGTTGGGGTTTTGGAAGCAGTGCTGCTATGTACGGAGCACTTCCTTGAAGGGGAATCTGTCCCTGAGGAGGAATGAGACCTCTTCTTGGCCTGTTGCGCCCTGTCACGGTCTCTTGCACTAGGCATAGTGTTAGGTGCCCTGTCCAATGCATCCCCTGGTGATGGGAGCATGGGGGAGGGGCAGTAGTGTGCTCTGGGTCTGAAGCAGGATGAGTCATTTTCTCCAACTGAATCATTTTTAATTGTAGTTCTCTGGACCTTCTCATTCTGGATGTTAGTTTATTGCAGTAAGGGCAATGTTCAGTAAGGTGTGCCTCTCCCAAACAGCGAACGCACAGGTCGTGTCCGCTAGAGAGTGATATGGACAGCTTATGCACCTTTTAAATCCAGGAAATCCAAATGCAATGTTCTTGCATTGCAGGCGCCGCACAGCTGATCTGTGTATAACAGTGCAGCAGCCGCCTTGGGGTTTCAAATAGGCAGCACCACTGTGTGGCTCTGCCACTTTGAAGTACCCCTTCCCTCCCACACTTTGCTGCCTCTATCTTATAGATAGAGGGAGCAAAGGCCCCCTTGCTGCCTTATAGAGGCAGCAAGGGGGGCGATATTGACTAGTCAATGCTTTCTTTGCCTCTGTATTCACGGACAAGGTCGGCTCCTGGACTTCTGTGCTAAGTGACGCAAGACGGGAAGAAGATGGACAGCCCTTGGTGGGTAAAGAACAGGTTAGGAACTATTTAGAAAAACTAAACGTACACAAATCCATGGGTCCAGACTTAATGCACCCAAGGGTACTGAAGGAGTTGGCAAATGTCATTGAGGAGCCTTTGGCCATTATCTTTGAAAAGTCGTGGAGATCGGGCGAAATCCCGGATGATTGGAAAAAGGCAAATGTAGTGCCCATCTTCAAAAAAGGGAAGAAGGACGATCCAGGGAACTATAGGCCGGTCAGTCTTACCTCGGTTCCTGGAAAAATCATGGAAGGGATCATAAAGGAGTCCATTTTGAGACACTTGAATGAGAGGAAAGTGATCAGGAATAGTCAGCATGGATTCACAAAGGGCAAGTCGTGCTTGACCAATCTGATTAGCTTCTATGATGAGGTAACTGGCTCAGTGGACATGGGAAAGTCAGTGGATGTTATATACCTTGACTTTAGCAAGGCTTTTGATACGGTCTCCCACAATATTCTTGCCAGCAAGTTAAGGGAATGCGGATTGGATAAATGGACGGTAAGATGGATAGAAAGATGGCTAGAAGGCCGGGCCCAGCGGGTAGTGATCAACGGTTCGATGTCAGGATGGAGGTCGGTTTCTAGTGGAGTGCCCCAAGGTTCGGTTCTAGGACCGGTTTTGTTCAATATCTTTATTAATGACCTGGATGAGGGGATAGATTGCACCCTCAGCAAGTTTGCAGATGACACTAAGCTAGGGGGAGAGGTAGATACGCTTAAGGGCAGAGATAGGGTCCAGAGTGACTTAGACAAATTGGAGGATTGGGCCACTAGAAATCTCATGAGATTCAACAAAGACAAGTGTAGAGTCCTGCACTTGGGACGGAAGAATCCCAAGCATAGTTACAGGCTGGGGACCAACCAGTTAAGTAGTAGTTCTGCAGAAAAGGACCTGGGGGTTACAGTGGATGAGAAGCTAGATATGAGTCAACAGTGTGCCCTTGTAGCCAAGAAGGCTAATGGCATATTAGGATGCATTAAGAGGAGCATTGCCAGCAGATCCAGAGATGTCATTATTCCCCTTTATTCGGCTTTGGTGAGGCCACATCTGGAGTACTGTGTCCAGTTCTGGGCCCCCCACTACAAAAAGGATGCGGACGCATTGGAGAGGGTCCAGCGGAGGGCAACCAAAATGATTAGGGGTCTGGAGCATATGACCTACGAGGAGAGGCTGAGGGACTTGGGTCTGTTTAGTCTGCAGAAGCGAAGAGTGAGGGGGGACTTGATAGCAGCCTTCAACTTCCTGAAGGGAGGTTCCAAAGAGGATGGAGAGAGGCTGTTCTCAGTAGTGACAGATGGCAGAACAAGGAGCAATGGTCTCAAGTTGTGGTGGGAGAGGGCCAGATTGGATATTAGGAAAAACTATTTTACTAGGAGGGTAGTGAAGCATTGGAATGGGTTACCTAGGGAAGTAGTGGAGTCTCCATCCCTAGAGGTGTTTAAGTCTCGGCTTGACAAAGCCCTGGCCGGGTTGATTTAGATGGGATTGGTCCTGCCTAGAGCGGAGGGCTGGACTTGACGACCTTCTGAGGTCTCTTCCAGTTCTGATTCTATGATAAGGGGATGGTTGGATGAAATAACATGATCTTGGTAACTAATTGACCATTCATTATCAGTTGGAAATAGGTCAATGGAGGGATGATAGGAGTTGCTATAGGGAACTTTCTGGGTGTCTGGCTGGTGAGTCTTGCCCACATGCTCAGGGTTTAGCTGATCGCCATATTTGGGGTCGGGAAGGAATTTTCCTCCAGGGTAGATTGGCAGAGGCCCTGGAGGTTTTTTGCCTTCCTCTGTAGCATTGGGCACAGATCACAGCTGAAGGACTCTCTGCATGTTGGGTCCTTCAAAGTATTTGAAGGCTTCAATATCTGACACATAGGTGAGAGGATTATTCTAAGAGGGGTGGGCGAGATTCTGTGGCCTGCACTGTGCAGGGGGTCAGACTAGATGATCATAATGGTCCATTCTGACCTTAAGGTCTATGAATCTATGAAACTATCCGATAAGCAAATGCTTACTGGATAGTCGACTAGTCTTTAATATCCCTAATCCCTACTATCTCTTTTTTTCACTTCACATATCTATTGAAGTAAGCTGCAACTCACAAAAGCTTATGCCATAATAAAAATGTTAGTTTTTAATGTCCCACTAGAATCTTTGTTGCATCTATTAATAATGTGTATCCTTGTCAGATAGTGATTGCATTCTAGTTCCACAGGGGAGTTATAAAGCTAACTCCAGTAACTAAAATAAGTGTGTGTGTGGGAGGGAAAGTGGGGTTGAATCCTGCAAATTCCAGGACAGGTCAAGAACTCCAGATAATTACCATCCCTTGGGGGGCACTGCACATACCAATTCAGACCAGGTTTGAAAGACCCAGATGACAAAGAAACAGTTTTTGGTATAAAGACTCAGAATAAACAAACTGATAAATTAACACAAGACTGAAACTGAGAGGGAAAACCCCTGCTGTGGGTTTGAAGAACTGGAAACGTACCAGGGTCTCCATATAGATGATGGGCAATATCTGGTAAACTTAGCACACATATAGGCAATTTGTTTTTTATTATATCTACTCTGTAATGTTTTTGTCCTAAATATATTTTGTGCTTTGTGAAACAACTATCATAGCCAATGGGAGAGAACAGAATTGCAGGCTCAGAACTAAAGTCAAACCTGTTGGGATAAGCACAGTGAATCGGAAGGGAGACTGCAAGCCTAAATATCTAGTTTGCAGGGAGAGGGACATGGATCCCTGCCATCAAGAAGTGATGGCTGTAGACCTGAGCTTTAAAGGGGTGCCTTTGAGCAAACCAAGGCAGAGGTGCAATTAACCCTGGAACTGTGGTATCTCCATCACTGGATGTTCCAATGCAGTTTGGATATTTTCTAAAAGATATGCTTTAGTGTAAATAAGAATTAATTCAATGATGTCCTATGTCCTGTGTTAAGCAGGGCAGACTAGATGACCCTAGCAGTGCCTTCTGGCCTAATAAACTATGAGCCCTACCTTCCAGTGAAACACGATGGGTGTATTCTGTACAGACCTTCTGCCCCAAATATCCTGAAAGATGTGGCAGAGAGCCCCAAGCTGCTGCTCAAGTCCAGTTGAGCAAAGGCTATTTGGAACCTCTGTAGAGTCCCTGCCCCTCATGCCTACAGGGGCAGAAAGGCTTGATAACCTCACCTGCAGGGTGATCTCCACATTGCCCATCTGCTTTCTCTGACACTTGTCATGCTCTGTGATTCTCCTGTTCAGTTCACAATAGGCCTGCTGCAGCTATATGGGAGGCAAAAAAAAGAAAACAGGTGTGGAAGAGGAACGTGGCCCCCAACACAACTTTTTATTAGGCAGGGAGAAAAGCAGGATCCTTTATCACACCTGAAGGGTTAAATTCCATGTCCCTATATTGTAGATGGGGCTGCAACTTTCCTGTCACACACAGGGGATAAATTCCACCTTTCGGTTCTCAGGAGGGACAGTAACCCACTGATCTGGATCCGATGTTGGGACCAGTTGGCTAGCTTTATAAAAAGGTCAAAAGGAACTGACCAGCAGGTAGGATAGGCTTGGTGGGTCTCTATGCAAGCGTAACTGAGCAGTATGAATATCTATCCCAGGTATGCACTATAAGGTGTACAGAACATATCCCATCAACTATCTTGGAGAGAGAGCAGATAAAATTGGGTTTTTCAACATGCAGGTACAAACCAATCTTGAATAAATGACACCAACTGGCAAGTGCTGTAGAAGGATCAGCATCTAAACCAATTCCAACTCCAACTCAATCCCTTCAGGGATCAGCTGGGCAGGAAAGTTGAGCACTGAAGAATAAGTAGTATGGTCCCTACTGGGAAGAGCTGGATATGGAGGAACTATGATATGCAGGGGGCTATTTAATGATTTCTAAAAAGAGAAGGCCTGACCTCCTTGTTACATCTCTCCTGTGCTTTAGCCAGCTGCTCCACCTCTTCACTCATTCTATGGGAAAGAATAACACAGTTCAGTCTGAGCCCCTCACAGTGGGAAGGGGCAGGGCAGCAGTGCTGTTTCTGGGCCTCCTTCTCTGATTCTAAAAGATGTCCTGATCAGACAAGGTGAGAAAAAGGAACCAAATGACATCACCTCCAGCACTAGGACAAATTCTTGAGCAATACTTGGGACATAAACTTGAGGTTCCTTCTTTTACCCCTTCTTATCTTACTATTCTGCTTCTTTCTTCTGCTTCCCCTTTTTGACTTTTCTCTCAAAGTCCAAGTTCTCAAACTGTAACCCCTTCAATAGGTAAAAAAACCCTTTCAGTGTAATTGGGGTTTAATGGCTGTATCCAACTATCTTCCCTTTCCGGGCTAGAGCTGCAAACCTCACCTGTGAGTCTCAGCTTCTTTCTCCTCTTTTTCCAGCAAGGCTCTTCTTTGCTGTTCTGCCTCCATCTTCTGTAACATCAGCTCAGTCAGGCTGATGTCCCAGTAATGCAGAATGGCAACCAAGCTGTCCAAAGAAGCAATCTTATTGGAAACAAACAGAAACACCATTGTGGCTGTAAATACATACATTAAACAAAGGCTAGGACACTCCCCTGTGCCCTGCCCCCTTGGACACACCCTCCATGCTCTAATCTCAGGAACACCAACAATGGACACTCAGATTGGGAAAAAAGCCCTTCCTTTCAGCAGCACTCATATTGAGCATTACAAGTGGGAACAGAGCCCCTCACCTCAGAGAAATGGCAATCTGCACCACTAACATCATCAGGACCACTAATCCTGTGTAGTTTTGTTAATCCAAATAATCACTCTTATTCTGAGGGGCTGTCCTGTTGACACTAGTTTATTCTTTGCATGAGTAAACCTGACTGCAGTTGTATGAGTGCCTATCAACCAGCCTTTGCTTGCATAAAAATGGTCATTTACCCTACACCACAGGGACAGAACTTGAAGAGTTAATTTTGCAGATATTTAAGGTAAGCTTCTTGATTATGAGAGGACAGCATGGAGGAAAGCACAAAGGTGCTCATTTGCAGATTTGATGTCAGTGGCCTCATGAGGTCAAGAATGATCTTTCACAGGTTTTCTTTTATATAGGTCCTTTGATGACCGAAGAGTCAAATTCTTGAGCGACAGACCCATTGGCAGACATTGTAGGTGATGCTAGAAGTCAGTGTTGAGCTATAATTGCTTCATGCCAATTGTCTTTCATTTTTTTTCCTGGTATTTTTCTCCTACCAAGGCAAGGCAATTTTCCTCAAAAGTGGATGTTCTCTCCCTGACAAATCTTTACAAGTTTTTCCTATCCTGGACTACTGTCTTACAGAGTATGGAGTCAATTCCAGATCTCTTGATGTTTATTTTAAGAATGTCTCCAAAGCATTTCTTTTGGCCTCCCAGTTTTTCCCAGTTGGTTTGTTAGACACACAGCAATTGTTTTGGTAAGCATACATCAGGCATGCACACGCTGTACCTGCTCCACCTCAGATGGTTCTGGATAATCTGGACCTCAACATTGAAAACATTGGCTTTTGTGAGGACACTGACATTAGTCCTCCCACTGTACGGTGAAGATCTTCTAAAAACATTGCTGGTGCTAGTGTTCCAGATGTTTTCTATAGATCATCCAAATCTTACAGCCATAGAGGAGAGTTGGGATTAACACTGAATTAGAAAGTAAAAGCCTGTCTGTTCTGATGTTGTGATTGTTGACACCCAGTGAAAGAGTCTTCCAAAGGCAAACTGACACTACAGATTCTGTGCTGAATCTCAGCGTCTATGTCTTCTATCTGAGATGGCTGCCAAATAGGGAAAGTATTCTACATTTTCCAGTTCTTCTTTCTTGATATAGATCTTCCTTGCTAGGTTTGATGATTGACCGGCGATAAAACATCTACACGGGATGCAGGCAGTCATGTGGTCATAGAGGAATCTCAGAATGGTGATAAATTTGCTTGAGTAGCCAAACTTTTATATGATTTTCTACTTAGTATCAAAGTTCACAGAGTCAAAGGCTTTGGTTAGGTCGATAAAGACCATATACAGCTCTTGGTGTTATTCTTGACACTTTTCTTGAATCTGACTGAAAATTATTCCAGTGGTGCCTCTGACGGTCTGAAGTCACAGCAGGAGTCTGGAAGTACTTCCTCTAAAAGAGGGAGCAGGCGATTCAGTAAGATTCTAGAAAGAAACTTCCCAGCAATGGAGAAGAGTGTAATGCCTCAATAGTTCCCACAGTTGGCCCTATCTCCCTTTTTGAAAATGGTGACAATGCTAGCATTATGTAAGAGAGTGGAGATTTCTTCAGTGTGCCAGATTTTGAGAAGCAGCAAATGAAGCTTTTTAGTGTTTCTTCCCCTTGATGGTATGTCAGCTTCACAGGTGATTAATCAGTCCCACTCAGTCAGAGACTCAGGGCTCCAAGCAAAGAGCTGACTGACTGGGTGGGGCTGATTAACCACCTGTGAAGCTGTGCTACTGTGCAACTTAGAAGCAACAGTCATAAGGACCTGGGGTTTTATTGTTCTTCATTTGTTAAAGGCTTTGCAGACCTCCTGAGGTGTTGGTGGGATAGCAAGCGTTTCCCAGATTGGGTGCTGAGGGATGGAATTAATGGTGTTGTCAGTTATAACTGATTCTCAATTTAGAAGCTTTTGGTAATGTTCCTTCCAGCACTCTATGATTGATTCATTATCTTTACTACCATCTTTGGAACCCAGAGGTGTAATGGACTGGGCCGGATCTGGGCACCGCTGAGGGTGTCAGCTCAGGGTGAATTGCTCAGGAACCCCCCCCCCAAACGGGCCACAACCCAGTCACACAGAGCGCTTCAGTTGCCAATCTGGCCAGCAGGAAGCCTCACGAGCAAAACTGCTCCGACACCCCAGCTCTCCCTGTGCCACAGTCAGCCCTGGACCTTACACACAGGTGAGGGGTTATAGAACCCGATCTCATCTACCCCAAATGGGTCCTCTTGTTCCCGAAAAACCAGCCACAAATCCCTGATCAGTTTACACTTTGGATCTTACCCACAAGAGCACGCTGGGCCAATCCTTTACAATCTAAAATCTACAGGCTTATTATTCAAAGAAAGAAAAGGTATGAGAGTAAGGCTGTTAAAGAGTAGGCTTGCCAGGAGTCTGGTATTTGAGGCTTCTCTCCGGGAAACTAATTGAGAAAATACCAGACACATAAATGTATTTTCTAATTAAGTTAGTTTTATCATTAGGAGTATCAGTACGTAGTTGTGTACTGCCTGGCTGGTAGACACTCTCACACTGTGTGTCTACCAGTCAGGCAGTATGCAATTACGCAGGGAGCTAGGGGGGCGGAGCGAGGGCGGGATGGACTCACTCGTGCTTTGCCGGGACCGTGTTCGGGACAGGCAGCACCCCAGGATCTGCGTGCACCCGGGCCAGCCCCTCTCTCCCTCCCTACCCCCCCGGGCCAGCCCTGCTCCCCCTGACCCCCTCCTGGAAACTATAATAAAGTAACTAACTTACAACAGAGAGACAATTAGAGTGTACACATAAAGAAAACACATTGCAGGTACAATTCTCACCCCTGCGTTCCAGACTTGGCATGGCCAGCGTCTTTCTCTCAATCCCTCGGGAAGAAGTAGGGCGAGGTTGGGCGTCCCACGGACCTCGGGAGACAATCAATACCTGCCAGCAGGTGTAGGTGATTGGAGCTCAAATGGGGTGGGCAACTAAACCCTCTTTATACCCCTTGGGTCACATGGGCTTCTTCCTGGTCTTAAGTGGCCAATTAGGAAAAATGGCTTTGAACGCCAAGTTTCCCACGAAGGGTGCAAAGCATAATTCACACCTGAGAAGATGCAGACAATGGGCACCTCTGGTATGTGATGGGCGAAGATTCCTCTCCTGAGACAGTGCAGGCATGTCAATTACTGATACTAGCCATCACGGCGATGGGAGGCCTCCCAGTCGTCAGCTAGCCCATTTACTGTCTGGTTTCTGTTTATGGTAGAGTCAGGGACAGGCACCACACCTGCGTTCCCAGGGCATCAAAGGCTAACTGCCTTTCTCTTGCTCTCTGGGGGGGAGGGAGGAAACAACATGGAGTTTGTGTCTGGCTACACACCCCAGCTCTCCCTGTGCCACAATCAGCCCCGGGCCTACACACAGGTGAGGGTATAGAACCCAATCTCACCAACCCCGAACAGATCTTCCTGGTCCCAAAGAACCAGCTACAGTTTACACTCAGTTTACACTTTGGATCTTACCCACAAGAGCATGCTGGGCCAATCCTTTAGAATCTAAAATCTAAAGATTTATTAATAAAGGAAAGAAAAAATTGAGAATAAGGTTGTAAAGGAGAATACATTACATACATCAATCAGCAAGTTCTTGATGGCTCTTAGCAGAGATGTTACAAACTGCCAGCTTAAAAGTCTTGAGTGTACATCCTATGTCAGGTTGGGTCATCGCTTTATAAATCCTGCTGTTTTAGTAGAGAATGGGCCCTTGCAAGGTTGCATCTGGGATCAGTAGCAAGATTGAAGACAAAATGGAGACTACTTCATGACATTTTATATTAATTCCTGGTGTCTCCCAAGCTGCAGCTGGTCACATGGTCAAGTGACCTTTCTGTGTTTCACATGCCAGCAGCCATTATGCCCTGGCTGGTTTGCAAGTTTCCAGACACATTCATCAGGTGTGTATTGGCCACTCAGAGTCCTTGTCCCTGGAGCCGTGCTAATTAGCATAGTCATTCACTGGACATTTCTTCCTCATGACAGGCAGTCCAGGCCCATTGCTCGATCTCAGGCAGAGAACATTCACAGTACCAGTACAGAATCCATATTCATAACTCCATGCACAGACATCACACAAGTACCTGAGTAGCATACATAGAATCAGTAGAGCATAAGCTTTCATTTGACACCTCTCATGGCCCACTTTGTACTGAACTTGGAGCAAACACTGCTCCCTCACCTGCCCTCCATGGGCACAGCAGTGATCTGTCTGCTCACTTTAGAATCCAATAATATGACAGCCACATAAGCATGGGCCACACAAAGTCTTTGCCTCAGAAAAAAAATCTACACATCATGTCTGTCAACAATGTTTGATTGTTTGCTTTGTCCTTCCATCATTTGATTTTTATTTCTTTGACACTCCTTTAAAATCTAGCTTTGAGCTGATGGAAAGAGCTCAAAGTTAATTTGCTTCTGACTGGATAGAGGTTAGTTTTGCCAGTCCAGGAAACTTTTCTCTTCTGGTCCAAAAGAGAGCTCAATGTTGTTGTTGTCAAACCAATCCTGATGGTGGTGAGTACCAGGCCAATGGTCTGTTTCAAGGCTTCCCACACACTTGTGTTGTCATTTCCAGGTGTGCCTATGGTTAGTTTCCCACTGAGGAGTATTTGGAAGTTCTCTTGGTGCACTGAGGATAGAAGTCTTTAAATGTTGTATAGCCGACTGCATGATCTAGATTTTCTATGTTTTGGTGCAATCCCAATGGACATGACAGACTTCACCAGCTGGTGGTCAGTCCAGC